GTATAATTATCATATATATAATACAATAAAAGTATTTTAAAGAAATTAAGTAACTAACATGAATTGAAAAGCTACAAGTTGATGAAAGATGAATTGTAAACCTAGGTCTGATCTTAGATTCACTGTGCTTTTTCCATTCCAGGGTTCAAAAACTTTCTTCCTGCATAGAATTACCATGAATGGACACTCAACAAGCACTCTGTCATTCATCGTATTTATCTTTATTTTTAGTAATACAACTTCTTCATTTCTTGTTACTACCATGTAACTAATTTAAATGTGATAGTGTTATTTACATGTCCACTATATTACATTTAATAATTGAAAATAGCAGAGCTCTTGTGGGCACTGGTTAACTGACTAGTACATTATTGACACAGTCAGTTTCAGTTATATCTACCTTTATATTTAAGATTCTAAGAAATCCTATTGATGGTTTAGTCCATTTGGTATCCAATCATTGTAAGTATTTCTCTGTGGCATTTTTCACAGAATGATTCTTCTTGTGCAGTACAGGTCTATGCATAACAAGCATTTAAAATCCTTGGCTTTTACCCCTAAATGTTGGTCATCACTTCACATTTGCACCTGTCAGGTGAATATGACATTCAAAAATACCTCCCTGGATAAGAACCATTATAAATTGTCCTACTTTGTTAGGTGAGAGTACCTCAGTTATTCCAGAGGGAACCAGCAGTTTGTCTCAACAGACAGATTTCCATCAATAACAGTCTCTTCTGCAGCAATTTCTCAAGGAGGGTGGGAAGGTACATAGGTAGTACACTGCCTTTTATCAGATAATAAAGTAGCTTCACTGATCATAGAAAAATTATAGGATACTTAGTATAACAGAAATTTCTTATAAATACCATTACTTCTAGAGGCAAACTCAATTTCCTTTTAAATACTCTAAAGACTTTTTTCCCTACCAAAAAAACAAAATCAAAAAGCAAAAAACAAACAAACAAACAAACAAAAACCCCATCTCAATTCTGGCACAGAAAGAACAAAAGAACCTAAAAGCCCACTTGTTCTTCCCATTTTTACTCTCACCCACTTCTAATTGTCAAAGGAAGGTGATTAATGAAAATATTTTAAATATCCTTTCAATATCTGTCTGATATGAAAAATTGTTTGACGTTCCAAATAAATTATAAAGTATTAAATTATAAAGTATTAGACCCTGCTCTACTATTACCAACCTAGCTGTGTGAGCTTGACAAGTTTTACCTTCAGATTTTAAGTTGCTTTCCAGTTCTAACCATGTCAAAACCTCCACAATTATAATCAATCATATCCAGTATGTTGAATGTCCTCCTCATAAAGCCTATTCTCAGTTTAAATACTCAAAAAAGTTGCAGAATGCATTTCACAAAGATCCTAAACATTATTTTTAAACAGTTCTTAATGACCAGATTATACATCTATCAGAGTAACTGTGAGGAACTACCAATGTAACACAGATCCACAGACTAAATAATGACAAGTTTTTTTTTTTTTTTAAAGAAGCATTTGTTCCTTTAGACATTCAGAGAATCACCCCCACCACCACTGTTATAGGTCACACTGAGTAACTATTCAGAAGAAACAAAGAAGGGGATCCCTGGGTGACTCAGTGGTTTGGCGCCTGCCTTTGGTCCAGGGTGTGATCCTGGAGTCCCAGGATTGAATCTCACATCGGGCTCCTGGCATGGAGCCTGCTTCTCCCTCTGCCTGTGTCTCTGCCTCTCGCACTCTCTCTCTCTCTCTCTCTATCATGAATAAATAAATAAAATCTTTAAAAAAAAAAAAAAAGAAGAAGAAGAAACAAAGAAGCTCCAGGAAAGCACATTTTCATACAGAAAATCCCCCTCCTTAAAATGACTGGATGACATCCTTGCAAACAAGTTCTTATCTGGGATGAGATGTAGCAACAACACTCCCAAAAAAGATGGACAATCCATTAGTCAAACCAGGGATACAGAACTTCAGGAATGGCTTTCATGTAGCAGTCTCTTGTAACGGCAAGCTACCCTAGACAATGGGTATCATCCACTTTCTGGAGCAGAGAGGCAACAAGGCCACTGAAAATCAGACCTCCTGTAGATAGAAAAGGTGATTAGAGGTCATTTTAAGTTGTATCTGTTAGTGAGTTTGTCATTGGCACATTTACTGTAAGGACAATCACAAGAGAATTTCCTAAGAAGGCAGAGAATTAGGAAAGTAATTCAGGGCATAATCATTGAACTGAAAACCCACATACTAAAAAATTCAAAATAGGCCATTTAGTTATTCTCCAACTTTAATGTGCATACAAATCTTTTAAGAATCTTGGTAAAGTCCAAACTAATTCAGAAGGTCTAGGTTGAGATACTGCATTTCTAATAAGCTGCCAGCTAATGCCAAAACTGCTGGTCCACGGATCACACTGAGCATCAGTGAGACTAAACTATGACTACCCAAAGGAAGAAATGTATAGTTTCAAGAGAGAATAATTCAGTAATTCCTTGGTGATATTTTTCCAGGTATTTTTCTTTTAGTTTTGGTTTTTATAAGAGCAGTTTTTATTAGTAAATATTGATTGGTTTCACCTATTGGGCTAATTTTGTGCCCCGCAAAATCTCAATTCAAATTAACACAAAACAAAAACCTGCCTAAGTTATAAACCACAGAAGAAACACAGAAACCTGAACCAAACAATAGCATTTAAATGTTATTTTTCATTCTAAATGGAAAAATTCCTAAATGAATTAGATTCTACACATTCAAACCTGAAGACAACAAATATTCTTTAGTGGTGAGTTACCAACAAGTGGTGAATTACTAATTCTAATAAATTGGTTCTGCTGTAAGAGGGCTTTGTCTTCAAAAAAGAAAAAAAAATTCTCAGGGCACCTGGGTGGCTCAGTTGGTTAATCCACCAACTCTTGATTTTGGCTCAGGTCATGATCTTAGGGTTGCTGAGCATGGAGCCTACTTAAGATTTTCTCTCCCTCTTCTCCTCCCCTCTAGAAAAATCCTCTGCTTTTCCTATTTAATGACATTTTTTACTATATAACAAGACTCTGAACAGACTGCTGCTCACAACATAAGCTTAGAGTAAGAACTACATATTCTGCAAAAACTGATGAAATGGAAGTTGCTGAGAAAAATCATGTGTATCATTAGGTACACAATTATTTCTAGAGCTTTCTAAACAGTCAGTTCTCAACTACTTACTTTAAATACAGGTTCATTTGTTCATCAAGCATTTATTAACCAGCTACTATGTATGTGCCAGGCACTTTGCTAAAGGTTAAAACTAGAGTTTATATTGGGGAGTCACAGAGACCTTTCAGATCCTGGCTTCACTACTTAATAGCAAGCTTTTTAAATCTAAGCATTGGTTTCCTGATGGCTGTGGTGACAGTTAGCCTATATAATGTAAATAAAGTGTTTAACATTGTACTTTGTATGCGATAAAGCTATTTGAAATATGAAGTTTGAGTAAAAAGTTGATCCTACCCTCAATAAACCAGTTCTCTACTATACAGTTCAATGTTAGATTATGAACCAATTTAACAGTGAGGTAAAGAACATGTCTGGGGGCGCCTGGGTGGCTCAGTTGAGCATCTGCCTTCAGCTCAGGTCATGACTTCAGGGTCCTGGGATCCAGCCCCCGCCGGGCTCCCTGTTCAGCTGGGGGCCTGCTTTTCCAATGCTCACTGCCGCCAGCTCATTTTCTCTCTCAAATAAAACAAATAAAATCTTTTAAAAAGAGAGAGGGAGAAAACACGTGTGGACAGATTAAACCCACTGAAATGTCCTCTGGGTTAGCTCATGAGTTTGTGTCCTATGCACACTAATGTCTTCTGCCACTAAGCAAAATAACAGAGTACACACCATAAGTAAAAAGAACAGATGCTCAAGCTATGTGGTTTTTATGCACAACAGGATCACCAGGGGGTACAACTTATGACAATGTTAGTGAAGCAGTAATTGCTCAACAACAGATTTGTACACCATTAACCACAGTTCTCTTCCTACCACCTTCAGAAAGCCTACCCCATAGTAGCCTCTTCTTACAAGACAAATATTTATCCTACACATTACAATTACCCAATAAAGCAAATAATTCTGGAAACCTACCTGGCAACAACAACGATCTAAAAAATAAACAGAGGCAGTACATTATTTCTAAAAAAAAAAAAAAAAAGTGCCCATCATGGCTGGCCAGCTATGGGCCACTGGACAAGTTTCTTAATAGTTCCAAACGTCGACGTCTTTATCTGAAAAATGGTAATACCAGTACCTATTTGCTAGAACTGGAAAATGAATTAATACAAGCAAAGTACTTAGACAAGTAATCGCCCAATAAATGTTACTTATTTGCCATCAGTTGCAATGAGAAAACGAAGCTCCTCTTGGTAACTATGAAACTAATAAAAATGTAGAGACGTTTTAGCGTCTTACAAATACTTAACTTTGTTAGTTTGAAGCGGTCAAAAGTGAAAAACAAGGATAAGGTAATAACGTGTCATTTATTATCCACCAACACCGATCCTCCCATTCTACCTCACAGGCTTCATTTGTCAAGTCCTGCAAGTGAGCAACCCTGGCCTAACCAGATACAGCAATTCAGTTCTAGATGGCTTAGGGGCAGAGGAAGGCTGGCACACTACAAGAAAATAACGGGGAAAAAGGGGGGGGGGATTTACAGAGGCATGAACGAGGCGGCGGGTAACCCAGCGGAAGAGTGGAAGGGCCCAGCGTGCTGGACGCGGGGCCAGAGGCCCAGGACGCCGTGGCTCCTCCCAATGAGGAAGCAGGAGGCCCTCGGCCTCACTGAGGAGGCGCCCGGGCACGCCGAGCCCCAGGCCTGTCGCAAGGAGGGTCGCGCGTGTGGAGCCTCGAGGACCGGCCGCAGGGGTCCAGGCTTCCCGCCGGCGCCGACTCCGCCCCGGAGGCCTGAGTCACCGTCCGCGCGGCCCACAGGCCCCACAGGCCCCACAGGCCCCAGGGGCCGGGGCGCGGCCGGTTACCTTCGGCAGGGAACTCCTCGAACTCGTCGTCTTCCTCCAGGAGACCCAAATCTACCGGCTGCTTCTTCTCTGACATGGCGACGCTCCGCGCCAAAAGCCTGTCAGGCCGAAAGGAAAGTTGGAACTCTTGACTTTTCCTCGCCTGAGCCACCAGCGCCCCGGCTGCCTCCGAGGCCGGCACTTACCATAGAGACGCGGTAGGAGAGCAACGGGAGCAGCGCGGGGAATGCTGGGATGCTGGAGGTCCGCCCGGCGCTTCCTGCGGGTGTAGCAATCCATCAGAGGTTAGAGGTGAAGCATTTTGTGCCTTTATTCTTTTACCTGGACTCAATGAGTTGGCAAATTTGGCATCCGGGTAGGTTTCCCTTTATTGGAAAAAACTCTTAGAGTGTAGAAAAAATGGAACACCTTCACTTAGTTTAAATCTGAGGGATAAAATGCCTGCTAAAATTCCTGAAGGGCCTTTTAATATAGAGTAGTCCCATCTTTAAAGATTTATTTATTTATTTATTTATTTATTTATTTATTTATTTATTTATTTATTTATTTATTTATCTATCTATCTATCATGGGCAGCAAGCCAGATTTTTTTTAAAATAATTTGTGTACTCTTATCATTTATTATATGCTCACATTTAAAAAAATATACACATAATATTTGATATGCATATTTGTAGACATGGAAAGGAAGATAGCTAGATATTTAAAATATTCAAGACATTCTAATGTATTAACAGTTACTGTCTCTGGGAAATGGAATTTTTCTTCTTACTTCAAGCTGCTTGCTGAATTATATCTCTACAATAAATATGAGTATTTGTAAATGAACAATCTTGTGAGTATTGTGTAAATTTTAGAACATCAAATCTCTATACTACCACAATTAAAATAAAAATTTTAAAGATTTTAGAAACATAAACAATAGCAAGCCAGATTTTTTTAAAGACTTTATTTATTTATTTATTTATCATAGGCAGCAAGCCAGATTTTTTTTAAAGATTCTTATTTATTAGTCCCATCTTTAAACCAATTCCGTAAGCATGATATTAAATATCTCCACATCACAGAAAATTCAGGTTCACAAAGAAATAGCCAAAATCAGTCAAGTAGTGCTAGACAATCCAAATGCAGGTTTGTTTACCTGAGGTGAATCTCCAAACTTTAACCATTATTCGTTGTTCCTGCAGCTTGTAATTACGCTGTGGTGAATACCCTGTTAAACAGTGTGTGTGTAATAACGAGTTTACAGGTTATTATAAAGTCACACTATGTAAAACCTGATGTACTTCACATGTAATGGTGTTCAAATATATCATTTTGAATTTTTCAGATATTATTAAATATGATTTTTAATGTGGATGTGAACTTATAAAACTGTCCCACGTGTATGTAATATTATAGATGGATATTATGTAATATAACATATAATTGGGTGTTATGAATTTTGATACATGTTTACCTATTCAAATCCTATTCCTTCATTCAATAACATTAGTTACAGTATCTGTTCATACCACCCATGAGGCACTGTATTGGAGATCAAGCATGTATCCACGAAGTCCTTCTCTTCCAGGAGTTCAGATTCCACTCAGAGACATGTAATCAGATAAATCACATTGGTACATAGTAATACATTTGAATTTCTATTTTAAAAGGAAATTATCTGAGAAATGAACACAGTGTATGTGTGTAAAGAGAATAGAGCAAGTAAATATAGCACACATTTGGACCAGAATTTGGGAACCTCAATTAGATAAAAACTTTAAAAAATAATGATAGGGCCCTTATAATACTTAGAGAGAAGCAATGAAATCAAAACTATGCCTTTACCTACATATCATATCTGCAATTGGTTGATTATATTTAACTTCACAAGAAGTCAAGCTAGCAGCAGATTTTATAGTTGATGATTCAGTTTGTCTCTAGCAAATCTTTTTTTCCCTCTATATCCCATTTGGGATCTATATAGTTTTAGTTATGACACAAATACCTGAATCCTTAAGTTTGCTGTAGAGTGACCATTCAATAAGTAGGCAGAATGGATTCTACAAGATTGACCTTTCTGTATCTGTCTCTATCCGGGAAGAAATGGTAAGGGACTGCTAAATGGCTGATATCTGGAGGAAGGACTGATTTCAAAGTCACTCATTTTAACCTCAGGAAGGTACAGCTAATTAGCCAGCCATGAAGAACTGAGAAGACAGATCCACACATCAAGTCTTTAGGATGTCCTTTCAGGGTGTGTAAAAAGCTTTGGCTCCACAGTCACTCTACTTGACTCAGGCTCTGCTACTTACCAGCTGAGGGGCCCTAGAAAATTACTTTCCCTCTTGGGCCTCAGTTTACTCATCTCTGAAGTAGGAGTAATCAGTTACCTTCTCCACAAAGCTGTTGGAAGGATTAAATGAATTAAATGAACTATTTCATATAAAACACTCAGAAGGATGCCTGGCATATGGTGAATAGGCAATAAATAGTTTGAAGTAGAAAGAGAATGATAATGTTGATTCATACTCTCTAGCAATTCATAGAACTCCTTGAGGTTAGAAAAAATAATTAATTCCAACAGCATCCATATTTGTCGTCAAGAAGTACTCAATGGCAGGGGAGGGGGCACCTGGGTGGCTCAGATAGTTAAGCATCTGCCTTCAGCTCAGGTTGCGATCTCCCCATCCTAGGATCAAGCCCCACCCCAGGCTCCTGGCTCAGCAGGGAGTTTGCTTCTCCCTCTCCCTCTGCCTCTCCTCCTGCTCTTGCTCTATCTCTCTGTTTCAAATGAATAAATGAAAAAAAAATCTTTAAAAATAAAAAGAAGTACTGAATGTTTGCTGTGCCATATCTTTCTAACCTCCAGAACACAACCATTTGCTGGAGCTTCTCTCTGAGTCTCCAAAGGACAGGTGCTAGATGAAATTAAATCTGTAAGCACACCTTCAGGACCCTCCCCTCCCTACCAGGACACAACATTTAGGCAGTTACCAACATCATCATCAAAATTTCACATATATTGTGATAAATGTAGGTGTAACTCTGTTAGGAGAAAATGGAAATTTAAAAGGGTGAGGAAAACTAAACCATATGCAATTTGCAGCAATGGAAATAGAGCAGGGGAAATATAGAAAGGATGAGATTTAGAAAGTCAACTTTGGGATATCTTTTATAGAACATTTTCTATTTCATATAAATACGTAGTCCATGTTCAAATTTTCATTATTTCTGGGCCTTTAAAATTTATTCTTTCTCCCCTAAAAAAGATTTTGAAGGTCTTTAAGAAAAGTCTGTGAGATCAGACTCTGAACACGTGCAGCTAGCTCTAAATCCTGCTGTGATCTATTTTTTTAAAAATGTATTGTGGTGGGATCCCTGGGTGGCGCAGCGGTTTGGCGCCTGCCTTTGGCCCAGGGCGCGATCCTGGAGACTCGGGATCGAATCCCACGTCGGGCTCCCAGCGCATGGAGCCTGCTTCTCCCTCTGCCTGTGTCTCTGCCTCTCTCTCTCTGTGACTATCATAAATAAATAAAAATTTTAAAAAAATGTATTGTGGCAGAGTGCTTAATATACCTACCCTCTTACATTTTTTAATGCATTATATGGTTAACTAAAGGCATGATGCTGTACTGCAGATCTCTAAAACTTACCCATTTTGTATAACTGAAACTCTATACCCATCGAACAGCAATTTTCCATTTCCCTCTTCTCCCAGCCCCTGGCAATCACCATTTTATTTTCTGGTTTTACGAATTTGAGTATTGTAGATGTCATATAAGTGGAATCATGCAATATTTGTTCTTCTGTGACTGGCTTATCTTATTTATCATAATGTCCTCCAGGTTCATCCATGTTGTTGAATATGGCAGAGTTTCCCTCTTTTTTAAGGCTGAGTAATATTCCATCCTTTTATCAGTCAAAGGAAATTTAGGTTATTTTTGTATCTTGGCTGTTGTGAACAATGCTGCAATAAACATGGGAGTGCAGATATTTTTTTGAGATCCTGATTTTAGTTCTTTTGAATAAATTCCCAGAAGGGGAAATTCTAGATCATTTAGTAGTTCTATTTGTAATTTTTGGAGAAATCTATATACTATTTTCTATAGTAGGTACACCATTTTACATTCCCCAAAACAGTATTTAAGGGTTATAGTTTCTGCACATCCTTGTCAATACATGTTACCTTTTTATTAATATTATTATTATTCCTACTATTATAGGTCTCCTGACAGGTAGATATGAGGTGGTGATATCTCATTGTGGTTTTTATTTGCATTTCCTTGATGATTCATAATGTTGAGTATTATTTCACATACCTACTGGTCATTGGTATGTTTTATTTGGTGAAATATCTATTGAAGTCCTTTGCCCTTTTTGAAAGAGAGTGTGTACACTCATGAGTTTGGGGGAGGGATGGAGGAGAGAATCTTAAGCAGGATCCACACCTAGTGTAAAGCCCCCATTGTGGGGAGCTCAGTTTCAAGACCCTCAGATCATGACCTGAGCCAAAATCAAGAGTCAGAGGCTTAACTGCCTGAGCCACCCAGGCACCCCTCCCACTTTGCCCATGTTTTAGTTGGGTTATTTGGTTTTTTACTATTAAATTGTAGAAGTTCCATGTATATTTTGGAGATTAACTCCTTATTAGTTACATATAATTTGCACATATTTTCTCCCATTCTGTAAATTGTCTTTTCACTCTGTGGATTAATTTTTTTTGCTGTGCAGCATTTTTTAGTTTGATATAGTCCCACTTGTCTATTTTTGCTTTTATGGGTTGTGCTTTTGGTGTCATATGCAAGAAATTACTGCCTAGACCAATGTCATGAAGCTCTTGCCTGTTTTCTTCTAGGAGTTTTGCAACTTCAGGTGTTACATTTAAATCTTCCATATTAAGTTGATTTTGGGGTATGATGTATGTTTACCTTGTGGGGATAAAAACAAAATGAAATATAAACATTTTCTTCTAAAGACATAAAACTTGAAAATATGTCATTCTTGAAATAAAGGGATATTTTTCTTTCTTTTTTCTCAAAATTATTTAACATTGTTATGGATTTTGCTCTAAACCACATGATGTGCAGATGCCACTTGCAAACACAGTCCGTCCCTTCTTAGAGTTTACATCCTAGTGTGTTTTTTAGCTTCCATCAGTCTACCTGGAATAAAGCTATAATTTGCTTGGAGCAAATAGTTGAGACTGGCTTTGTTTCTA